GTCTGATATAAATTAAACATCTGATACTCGATAAATTTAATGTCTAATAAAGAAATATAACCACTAAAAATTGTAACAATAAATAAATATTAGGTTTGTTTCTTTTTATTTCTGCACTAAATTGCACTAGAATTCTCTTCTTCACTTTCGCCAAATATTAAATATATTATACCTATCTCTTAAGAAGTGTACATTCAGTTCAGCCACAAAAAACAGACACTATATCTCTATTGTAATTATATCTACATTGCGTAATTAACAATCGAACTGATATTTGATAATTTGATAGTTTGAATAACAACAAGGAACAATAGCACGCTGAATAAAGAAACGCAAGATATGTAATGTCTTTACATAAAAATATATTTTTTATTAAACATTTTATTTTAATGTATTATTATATTATTAATATGACAACTCATTGTATAATACAATACAATATAGACAAATGATATCTTACTTTAATAGTACAAAATAATTTTAATAATTTTGTGTTTTCGGCGAATCGCGTATTCATTTTACATGCTTGTCATACTGGATGAACAAGCGATCATAATTTTATTTAAGTTATCAAGATTCTAATATAAAATAAAAGTCGTAACTAAAAGATAGGTAGAAATTTATAATAAAATTAATGCGATAACAAGTAGCAGAATAGTTTGTTACATGTCAAGCGTATATTTAAATTCTGTAAGAACATAAATTATAATTAAATGTTAATTCAATTAACTTGACGCATCACAAAATCGCAAATTCACAAAATCGCGAAACGCACTGTTTCGTGAAAAAAGAAAAATAAATAAACTTTATTTTACACGAAAAGATATTCTCGACGTCTTTGAAAAAAGATATACAACAAAACAAATAAGTATGAGACGCTTACACATGTTTATATCGTAAAAAGGTATCGTAATCACCTACTTAACTAGAGCGAGAAGCAATGAGTTCCGTAAAAAATCATGACTTCTCTCATCGCTATAATTTTATATTACAAACTGTTACATACATAACAGTTTTTGAATCTTACATATTAACCGATACCAAGAGAATGATAAATTAATATAAACATACATCGCACATCCATCACGTCGTAGCTACATCACATTGGATACTTACGTTCACTTTGGTTTATAAATCTTTATTAGTATACTATTAGCACAAAAGTTTTTATTTACATATTTATTTCTTTCCATTAGAAACATAAATGATTAGTATATAAATAAATTATGCCAAATTCAGTGTTACCTATACTAATTCATATAATACAATAAGCATGTGAAATATACTAATAGGAACTAATTAAAATAAGAATTACGAAAACGTAATGTACTTAATTATAAAAATAGCAAATAATTTCTCTTGTTGGAACTAAAACTTAAAAGAATTTTTGTGCTTATAATATTGTCATAAGAAAAACGAAAAATAAAGAAATATTTTAACTGTTATACTTGTTAAAATATAATGTCTCGCTGATGTTCTGGACAATTTTTTAAAATATTTTTTAAAGTTGATTTTGATTTAGCGACAAGACGGTATTATTTCAAGATTAATATCAAGAATCATATTTAAGAATCAAATTATTTATTTTAATCAAAAAGGTATAACGTACAAAATGTCATGTAATAAATACATATATATTAAGATTGAGCAACGTTATAACCATTATACATTCTTAAAACGATTTGTATTTATGTCAAGTTAAATTTCTAATTTTTGTATCATATTTAAATTTCTACATTTCTTTTTTTTTTCTTTATCACAATATTTTATTTTTACGCGTTACTTTAAAAGCCAAAAGTACAAAATTATTACATTGGATCAATGCTCCAATTATACAAACATATATCTATCGTTATATCGATATGTATATATCTATCGTTATATGCGTTAAAAATTGTATGAATAATACAAATTGTTCAATAATTACATAGTATAATTCGGAAGCTAATTATATATATATATATATCAATTTCTATATCTGAAAAAGAGATAGAAAAGTTTATCGAGCGAGTCTTGTTTGGAATCCAGAACACCATCGACATTATAAAAATCCTGCTCGGTGTCGAGCCTTCCGAGGCTATATTATATGGAACCCGCCAAATAATGTGCAACGACATATCGAAACCGAGATGCGCGACGGTCGAGACGTAAGTCCTGGGAAAGGCCGACTCAAATATATATCTTTTTATAGAAATTTGTCCAAACGAATCAATTCGTGATCGTGTGAACAAATGCGAAGAAAGCCTTATTTAATCGAGACAGTCTTGCACGCACACTCGTAGGATCCTACTGATCCTTCGTGTAATGGTGCATCACTATCGCTTCGTCTCTTTCTTCCTGCGTTTGATCTGTATCGCCCCAACCCCATAATTCGTGGCTGCCATCACCCGTCCTCTTTACTCGTTTCCTCACCATATCCTCAGATACACTCTTTAAATCGTATGCCCAACCGATCTTCGCGAAGAAGTCGATAAAGGCTGTCGTAAAGTTGAACCTGTAATTGCCAAACTCGGCCGTCTTGTAATCCCAGGGAAAGATGTGATGGTAATTGTGCCAACCTTCACCAAGGGCGAATATGGCAACACTTTTGTTCTCTGATGGATTGATATACCTATAGTAAATAAGAAAACAATTAAATGTTGATTACATCAAAAATTAACTTTTCGAAACTAAAAGTCTGATAAAGATTTGAGAAAAATAAAGAATAAAAAATTAGGTAATTTTTTCCTTCGAAAAAAATTAAGGGAGTACAAAATTTGATTTAAAAGATATACTCGCGTCTTTACTAATTGATACTTACTTGTCGTAGGGTTTATTGCCGAAGAGATGAGCCGCAGAGTTTACTAACCATGTCATGTTCAATGTGAAGATATAACGGAGGATGGTAGGAATAAAGTAAGCATTCGTCCAGGTTTCGTTCCAACATACGACCGGAATAATAGTTGGTAAAATGAAGCACAGTAATGGCATCAGTATGGTATAATATCTGAAATGAACAATAAATCATTATAGATTGTTATATAATGTTATAATAATATTATTTCGATTAATATTAACATATGTACTTCTTTTGGAATGCCAATATGGGATCGCTCTCGAGATCACTTAAATCGATACGCTTGCCCTTTTCCTTAACTTCCGGATGTTTCCTACAGAGCAGCCAACCCACGTGCGAAAAGAAGAAACCTCTCTTAGCGTTATGTGGATCAGCATCGGTCTCGCTGTATTTGTGATGAACCCTGTGGTCTCTGGCCCAGTCGATTGTTGCATCCTAGATACGATAAAATTACTTGAATAATGTTAATAAATGTAGAATGCCTTATTCCTTTAAGGACCAAAACTAACAAAGTAATTTATAGATCATATTTTCTAAGATTTTCGAAATCACTAAATTCGATCCTGGCTTCAGATTTTCAAATTCTAAAATTCAAATTTCAAAGAAATAATCTAATTATCATGAAATTCGATTTTAGAAGATTCTTGATATCGCTAAGTTTGAATGTAGCCTGAAAAAATTGAAATTCTAAAGAATAGTAACCTCTATGAAGGAAGATTTAACGTCACAATTAGAGTTATTTGAAAATCAGTTTAGAAATCGATACTAATTGCAGTTTGCGTAATATTGATGAACATCAAATAAAGCGAAACTAGAAACTTGATGTTACTTCACAATTAAAAATTTCTTAAAATTGAGTTTTATCATAAATAAAATAAAACTATTTTTAAATATAATAAAATTATTTTTTAAAATTTTCTGTCATATTAAATCCATCATATAAAGTTTTATTTTTAATCTCGCAAATAAAGCATTATTAAATTATCCTATAAGCCAAGTTAAATGGAGCAAACAATTTACAAAATAAAAGATAAAAGGGAATCCCTGCAAACAAAATCATCTACACTTTCATTATTATTCCTTATTCATTATTATTCCTTATTGTTCCTTGCTCTAATTTGCGTATCTCTGAATATTTATATTGCTTATACTTATATAAATAAAAATACAGGAGGATGTGCATGTCAATACTTCCGTGATAAACAACACATACTATATATTAACGTATTATATTCTTGAGCTCATGGAATGTTTTTTTCTTAACAATACATCATTTGTTTAGTCAACATCTAACGGTGCATTGGATTATTTTACTATTTCTTACACGCAACGCATGTTTCTACTTGATATCAACATGAATTCCTTATATTTCAGTAGCTATAAGAAAAAATCGATTCTATCGTATTTTTTTTCAATTGTTATATTGTTTATATATAAATTTAATTTAATATTTGCCAAAATTCTAGGATTGGAATCTGTCACGAAAAAAACTAATTATAAATTATCGATTTTATTTCTCTTGAATATAAATATTTTTATCTGTTATTTTGTGTACGATTTCTGAGAAATTTACTTACCTGAAATGCTATAGTATTCAAAATCACGAGTATCAGCTGGAGAGGCCACTTGGCTTTGTAAGATCGGTGTGCCCAGAGTCGGTGAGCTCCGGCTGTGATTCCTAAGCCACTGACTTGATACAGTAAAATTGCTGCAATCGAGAAAATTATTAAGTTACACGCAAAGGTCGCCGTTTGCTCCGGATCATCAATCTTTATTGGATAACTATCTTGTGACAAATTACATTATGAGAAATATGATTGACAATGCGGAACTGTAGAAAATTTATTATTTGTAACATGAATGTCGTAACGACATGTTTATATAATTACAATCATCTTGAAAAATATATTATAGTAACAAGCGCAACGAGAGAGAAAGAGAGAGAGAGAGAGAGAGAGAGAGAGAGAGAGAAGAATAATAAATCATTTAGCTTAAACCAATGATCGCTATCTTTTTTAAACTAAACCCATTTTCAGACAAAATCTTGCGAAATTATTTAATTTACATAACTTTACTTATATTACTTATATAATTTATCGTATATATTATTATAATATGTATATAACATGTACATAAATTAAAAAATTAAGATAAAAAATTGTATTATAATAACAATAAGGAATTAAATAGATAAATAATAAAAGGGCTATACGAGCTACGAATCAAGCTGGATGTTCGTTGCTACTAATTAAATTTAATCTTTACATAATAAAAACACAATAGTTTCGATCTTCTCTTCATCAGATCATTCTCAATATGACAAATTGCAATATAATTCGTTAATAAAAATTGTTTCCATCTACTTTATACAATTATTTCTTACGCATGATGATTACAATAGATTTTACGATGTCGATTTTTTTTTCAATATTAGATGTTTCTTTTCATTTATAAATTCCTATAATTGTTATTAAAGAAATTAGAAATATATATAGTATATAGTATAATGTATATATT